CCTGTAGTGGTTCATTGAACCACAATACCAACAAGTGATTAATAAAAGTCAAAAGACCAAAGAGGTCACCTTAATACAAAAAAAAAAAAAAAATAGCTCCCAAAGTCAATCACTTATTCTTAACATAACATGTAGACTATCACATATCCAATATTTAATTGGAATTATATTAAAAAAAAGGGGTCGAATGTGTCCATTAAGTGTAGAGTAAGATTTCTTAATTTTTCTTAATTTTTAGAAATTATACTATATTCAATAGTATTTTCCTTGTTACAATGATATCATTGGCAAAAATATTTTGAATTTGCAGTATTCATTTCTAAGCATATAGCTAGAAATTTCTAGTCTGAACTAAAGTATAATTTGACATTCCAATGTCATTTTCCAATTTCATAAAATTTGTGTTCACTTAAAAATTGCAAATCTGAAATTAAAGAAGCAAGTGCATTTTGAAATAAATAATAATTTTCTGTATCAAGAAATAGAACTAACATATAATATGATTCGAGTTTATATAATTTATCTAAATTATTTAAAAGTGCAACAGTTAGCATGACATGCTTTGCTCTTTTGCTGACATTTTGGCCATCTTCAGATATACATAAGTGTAAAGTAGAGCCAGATTTTAAAACCTCTTTTGAACATACAATAGAATTATGTAATTAAGTATATCAGTAATTTATCAGTGCCTACCTTTTCTAATAGATGTAATGATATTAGAAACTATAATTAGATCAGTAATATCAGCCTCTTCAATAATTGGCTCAAAAATAGTTAGTTGGTCAATATCAACTAAACTAATGAGAATTTTTTATTTACATTATATGTAATTTCTTGTCTCATATCATAAATTGCTTTAGCTCGAATTAGTGATTCATCAAGTCTAGCCAAAGATCTATATGCCTCTTAAGAAATTCGATTATAATCAATTGACTTTACAATAGCTTGGATTTGTAGTTCGATTAATTGTTTATCAATCCTTCTATAATTGATATTATATGTACAATTGTTAATTTCAAATTTGGTCTGTTTAAGAACAATGTTATCATTTGGATAAAAAAAATTCTTCTTTTCTTCTTCTATGAATTCTTATAACTATTCTTCTAAACCTAATATGTGTTTTTTTTTTTTTTTTTTTTTTTCCCCTTAAGCAGTCACGCTAGTGCTTTATTAAGATTTTGAAATTACATTTGCAA